CCACCTCTTGCTTTCTTTCTCTTTGTCCTTAGTTGAGGATGAATCAGCACGTTGTCTCCACATGCTTCGAGGTATCATCTTCACTTCCATTATAAGTGAGAGATAAAGCGAAAGCATAAGATGATGAGTACTCGAGAGCAAGAGCTGGCTGGAGAAAGGACAGGGAGAAAACATGATATGAGATACTCGTGCTTTCTCAACCTTTATGATATGAAATACTTTGCTCTGGATGGGTTGTTTGCAGGGGTATCCCAGGGAATAAGGAACACAGAGTGACTCGAGAGGGTGTGTTGGAAATACATTCTCGGAGATGAAGAAGTGCTGAGAGGGTGTGCCTTTGCTGTGGAAGGCGAAGGTAGATACTTATAGGACTTTTCTTCACAACCGGAACTATTCCCTCACTCATTGTCGGCAACCGGTGGATGGATGAATAGTACAAATTACGCGCTTTCTGACAAAGCTGCCTGTAATTTCCGCAAAGCTGCCAGTTGCATGTGACGAGTGACGACACGTCTGGACAAATTGATCTTTTGAAATCCGGGGTTCGGCTCGTGGTTTCTGAGCAAGCCCAGCATTTGAGAAATGAAACGCCTCTTTTGAGAAAAGAATCAGGCTTTTGAGAAAGGAGCCCCGACTCTTCGATTTGCGAGAGGACGCCTCATTTTCTGAGAAGCGCCTCTTTGATTTCTTCTTTTTATAGAGGCGTTAATTTTGTTCCACAACACACTTGAGCTCCCTCCTGTAAACACTCCCTTCTTGCACTTCCGAAATCTTAATCTGTCCGATCTCTTCTTTCTCAACACCTTCAGAAAATGTTTGGCCCTTCCGATCGTCGTTTTGACTTGAACATTGGTGAAGAGGCAGCTCCGCCTTCACCAGACAACATATGGCGCCTATCCTTCATATCCCCAACCGGTCCCCTTACCGTGGGGGATTCGGTGATGAAAAATGACATGACCGCTGCGGTGGTGGCCCGGAACCTTGTCACCCCCAGAGATAACAGACTGCTCGCTAGACGGTCTGATGAATTGGCGGTTAAGGAGTCTCTGGCTCTTAGCGTGCAGTGTGCGGGTTCTGTGTCCAACATGGCCCAACGCCTATTTGCTCGAACCCGTCACGTTGAATCGTTGGTGGCTAAAATACAGAGTCTCAAAGAGGAAATTAGAGGACTCAAGCATGAAAATAAACAATTGCACAAGCTTGCACACAATTATGCCACAAACATGAAGAGGAAAATTGACCAGCTGCAGGAAAATGATGGTCAGATTTTACTTGATCACCGGAGGTTTGTGGGTTTGTTCCAACCGCATCTGCCTTCGTCTTCTGGGGCGGCACCGCGTAGTGAAGTTCCAACTGATCAACCTCCGATACCTCCTCCTTCCGTGGCCCCGCCGACTGCTGAAGCTCCGCCGACTACTCCTAAGCAGCCTATGTGAAGACTCCCTCTTGTATTTATCTGCTTAATGTTCCTTTCGTTTTCATGAATGTACAAGTACTTTGCAAGAAGTTGTGGTAGAGATTGCAACATCATTACCTGCATAAAGGAACAAAAGTAGGACTTAAACACACGAACCAGAAAACAAGAGAAAAACAGAACAAGAACATTTAAAATTATTCAAAATAAAGATGAAAGATAAAAAAGCTTGGGTTGCCTCCCAAGAAGCGCTTTCTTTAACGTCTTGCAGCCGGACGATGCCTCCAGTAATCATCCAAAGGGAACTGGTTCTTGGAGAGGTACAACCTCCACATCATGCTCGGCAAAAGGCTCGTAATATGGCTTGAGTCTCTGCCCATTCACTTTGAACACGTTTCCGGTCTTCGTACTTCGGATTTCCACTGCACCATGAGGAAAAATATTAGTTACAACAAATAGACCAACCTATCGAGAACGAAGCTTACCTGGAAATAATCAAAGGCGAGAATTAAATAGAAGAACTTTCTGTCCAATGACAAAGTTCTTCCTTAAGATCATCTTATCATGAAATGCCTTTGATTTCTCCTTGTATATTCGACTTGACTCGTACGCATCATTCCGGATTTCGTCTAACTCATTTAATTGAAGCTTCCTTTGCTTACCGGAAACACTCATGTCCATGTTGTAGGCTTTGATCGCCCAATAAGCTTTGTGCTCTAACTCTACTGGAAGACGGCATGGTTTCCCATAAATTAACCGAAATGGGGACATTCCAATAGGAGTCTTATAGGCAGTCCTATAAGCCCACAATGCATCGTTCAAGCGCATGCTCCAATCCTTCCTACTAGGACTCACAGTTTTCTCCAAAATTTGCTTCACCTCACGATTTGATACTTCTGCTTGACCGCTAGTTTGCGGATGATAAGGTGTAGACACCTTATGTGTGACATTGTACTTCCTAAGCAATGCTTCAAATGTTCGATTGCAAAAATGACTCCTTCCATCGCTAATGATTGCTCTAGGTATTCCAAATCTTGCAAAGATATTACTCTTAATAAAATCTGAAACAACTTTTGAATCATTAGTTTTGGTGGCTTTTGCTTCCACCCATTTAGAAACATAATCCACAGCCAATAAAATGTAAAGAAAACCATTTGAAGATGGAAAAGGTCCCATGAAATCAATGCCCCACACATCAAAGATCTCAACAACCAAAATAGGGGTTTGTGGCATTTCATTTCTTGGGCCCAAGTTACCTGTTCGTTGACAACGATCACATGTTGCACAAAACTCATACGCATCCTTAAACAGACTCGGCCAATAAAATCCACTCTCTAACACCTTAAGTGCTGTCCTCTTTGCTCCAAAATGGCCACCACATGCATAAGAATGACAAAAAGTTAGAATAGATTTAAACTCAGATTCGGGGACACACCTTCTAATTAATTGATCAGTGCAATATTTCCATAAATAAGGATCATCCCACTCGTAGTATTTGGCGGTTTTGACAAGCTTATCTTTCTGAGCACGTGTAAAATCATCTGGAATCTTTTGATGACCTTGTAATTGATAATATCTGCATACCAAGGGTCAGTAATCTTTAATGAAAACAATTGCTCATCCGGAAAACTCTCACTTAAAGGGATGAGATATTCCTCTGTGTTTGAAAGCACAAGTCGGCTAAGATGATCTGCTACAACATTCTCACTCCCTTTCTTATCCTTGATCTCCAAGTCAAACTCTTGAAGTAGAAGTATCCATCGAATGAGTCGCGGTTTTGCATCCTTTTTTGTGAGTAGATACTTTAATGCTGCATGGTCAGAAAACACAATAATTTTAGTCCCAATCAGATAAGATCGAAATTTTTCTAAAGCGAATACAACAGCTAAAAACTCATTCTCTGTTGTTGAATAATTCAACTGGGCATCATTAAGTGTCCGGGATGCATAATAAATGGCATGAGGCACTTTGTTGACACGTTGCCCTAGAACTGCTCCGACTGCATAGTCTGAAGCATCGCACATCAACTCAAAAGGTAAACTCCAATCTGGTGGCATGATCACAGGAGCTGTGGATAACAACTCCTTAAGCTTGTTGAATGCTACCACACACTCTTTATTCATATCAAATGATACATCCTTTTGAAGCAAACGACACAACGGTCTAGAAATCTTTGAGAAGTCCTTCATAAACCTGCGGTAAAAACCTGCATGTCCCAGAAAAGAACGAACCTCCCTGACAGTAGTAGGGAGAGGTAAAGAACTAACAAGTTCTGCTTTAGACTTATCCACTTCAATTCCCCTTTCAGATATGATATGCCCTAGAACTAATCCATGAGAAACCATGAAATGACATTTTTCCTAATTTAAGACCAGATTAGTTTCTTGGCAACGTTTTAAAACTAGGGACAGATTATGTAGACAGGTATCAAAAGAATCACCATAAACAGAAAAATCATCCATGAACACTTCAATTATTTTCTCAATCATATCAGAAAAGATACTCACCATACACCTTTGAAATGTGGCAGGTGCGTTGCAAAGTCTAAACGGCATCCTTCGATATGCAAATGTACCAAATGGACATGTGAAAGTCGTCTTTTCTTGATCCTCAGGAGCAACTGCAATTTGATTATATCCAGAATAGCCATCAAGAAAACAATAATGAGAATGACCAGCTAACCTTTCTAACATTTGATCAATGAATGGGACTGGAAAGTGATCCTTGCGTGTGGTGTTGTTTATCTTCCGATAGTCTGTACAAACTCTCCAACTATTTTGCACACGTGTAGGCACTAGCTCATTAGCTTCATTCTTAACAACTGTGACTTCTGATCGCTTTGGAACTACGTGAACAGGGCTCACCCACTTGCACTGCTGTCTGAAATAGGATATATGATGCCAACATCAAGAAGTTTGATAACCTCTTTCTTGACGACCTCCATCATGAGAGGGTTTAAACGACGTTGAGCTTCCCTTGTTGGTTTTGCATCTTCCTCCAACAGAATCTTATGCATACATGTAGCTGGATTTATACCTTTGATATCTGTAATGCTCCAAGCTATCGCAGTTTTATGATCCTTCAGTACCCGGATCAGCTTCTCCATCTCCTCTGCTGTGAGTTGTGATGATATGATGACTGGTAATGTTTCTTTCCTCTCCCCTCCCAAAAATGCATACTTCAAATATTCAGGAATCGATTTAAGCTCCAATTTTGGTGCCTGAATCACAGAAGGAAGATTTTTTTTGTTAGAAATAGGAAGAGAAATAAAATAGGCAGAAGACTTACCGTGAATTGGTGAAAGAGACTCAAGATCTGCCATAGTCTGAATTAATTCTTCATCAATGTGCTCGAAAGTATTAAGCTTTTCATGTGTAATGCTATGCACTAACACCTTTTCTAAATTACCATGTCCCACACTTTCATTAAAACAATCCTGCACAAAATAGTCAAACACATCAATAGAGAAACAAGATTCAAAATCATTAGGGTACCTCATAGCATCGAAGATTCTGAATTTGACAATTTCTCCATCAATTTCCATGGTCAAGGTACCATCATAGATGTCAATCTTTGTACGTGCCGTTCAAAGGAATGGTCTTCCCAATATAAGAGGAAGTGCAGTAGGCATAGGGTCATGTTCCATCTCAAGAACAAAAAAATCAGCAGGAAAAATAAGCTCATTCACTTGCACAAGTACATCCTCCAATAAGCCTTTTGGATATCTATTTGAACGATCTGCCAACTGGATTATTACCTTTGTTTCCTTCAACTCTCCAAGGTTCAATGATTCATACACTAAATATGGCATCAGATTGATGGATGCCCCCAAATCACACAATGCTCTCCCAAACTCTTTCCCTCCAATTACACATGGAATGGTAAAGCTACCGGCATCCTTCAACTTTGGTGGTAGCTTCCTTTGCAAAACAGCTGATGCTTCCTCACTTAATGCCACAGTTTCTTGATCATTGAATCTCCTCTTGTTTGTACAAAGCTCTTTAAGGAACTTTGCATACTTGGGCACTTGTTTTATGGCATCTAAAAAAGGTAAGTTCACTTGGACTTTCCGGAAAGTATCCAAGATTTCCTTATCAGTTTGCTCTTTCTTTGACTTCATAAACCTGCGAGGGAAAGGAATAGGGACACATGAGTTAAATGAATTTTGAATTTCTTTTCTTTCAGTATTAGAATTTTTTTTGTTTAATTCAACTGCTTTAGAAGACTTTTCAATTTCTGTTGAAGCTTCATCTTGCTCAAGATTTTTGGTTTATAACTCCCCTTGTTGCATCCTTGGATGCTCAAAAACTTCTTTTCCACTCCTTAAAGTCATAGCATTTAACTGCTCCGCATTTGGATTTGTCACAGTTTGGCTTGGTAACCTTCCTGGTTGGTGTTGTTGCCCCATCAAACTTGCTAACTGACTCATTTGGCGCTCAAGGTTTTCAATTGCTTTGTCTGTTTTCTGTTGATGAGATTGAGTAGAGTTAGCTAAAGAAGCAATTAAATCCTCAAGAGACTTACTTGGAGCTTGTTGTTTTTGAGGCTGAAATGGTGCTTGTGGTCTTGCTTGAAAGAAGCCAGGTGGACGGTTATAATTGTTGGGAACAGATTGTTGTCCATTGTCTTGATTGTTCCATTTTAAGTGTGGATGATCGCGCCACCCAACATTATAGTTGTTGGAGTATGGATCATACTTTTGCCTTTGTTGCCCTTGAAACCCTCCTAACGCATTAGCTTGCTCAAGACCACCTTGATCCCTAAATGATGGGCATATATCCGTAGCATGTCCCATCATTGAACATACACCGCACACCTATTTTGGACCCACCATAACCTGTTGCACAAGATTAGTCAAATTAGCTAATTGTAATTCAATACTAGAATTAGCACTTACCTCGTTAACTTTCTTGAAAGATGGCTCTTCTCTCCCTCCAAATTGTCGTGTGTTACCAGCAATGTTCTTTATTAATGCCTTAGCATTAGTTGGTGTTTTATCCATAAATGCTCATCCACTTGCTGCATCAAGCATCACACGATCAGTACCACACAATCCCTCATAAAAATATTGTATTAAAAGATGCTCTGAAATTTGATGATTAGGACAAGATGCAACCAAATGTGTGAACCGCTCATAATAATCTCCAAAGGGCTCTCCATGTTGTTGTCGAATTGCACATATGTCTTTTCTTATGCTTGCAGCTTTTGTCGCCGGAAAATATTGCTCCAAGAATGCTTGCTTCACCTGATTCCATGTGTTAATTGATCCCGGAGGTAAATTGTAAAGCCACTCCTTTGCCTTAGCTTCTAATGTAAAAGGGAATGCTCTCAACTTGACTTGCTCCTCATTCACATTTGCTGGTCTCATTCCTGAGCATACTACATGAAACTCCATAAGATGCTTGTTGGCATCCTCTGTTGAGAACCCATGGAACTTAGGCAAATAGTGAATCATGCCGGACTTGAGCTCACATCCTCCTTCGTCATGTGGATATGTGATGCACAATGGTTGTTGATCCGTGTTTGGCGTTGCCAACTCCCTCAGAGTACGGTTGTCAGCCATGTCTCCTTGTGGTTTTTCCTCCTTTATTGAACTAAATGTGGTGGAGACGATGATGATGGTACGGACACCAATGCTTGATTCTGTTTGATTTCTCCTCGAACCTTTCGAAGTATTTGTTCAGGCTCAGGATTGTAAGGAGCTATATCAATGCTTTCGGACCTTCGAGTTTGCATATACTACAAAAAGTACCTGAAATAAACCCAAAACCAAAAACACTAAATAAACAAGAAATAGAAAATAATAAAAATAAATAAAAATAAAAATAAAAATAAAATATAAGCAATCAGAAATAACAATCCCCGGCGACACGGCGCCAAAAATTTGGTAGTAATAAAAGCACACCACAAAGTAGCACACAATAATCCTATTAATTTTCCTTTTTAACACTAAGATTTGTCAATTGTAGCATATGAAAATAAAGGTCTTTCCCGCAGAAGATTGTTTTATCCAAATACTTAAAATGTCACAAAAACAGGGTGGCCGTCTCCACTGACCAGCCACCGAACAATAATTATTAGACTAACTTACACTTATCCAAATGCAACGAAATTTTATACATATAAACTAGACACACCAAGCTATGCTCACACAAATATTTGGGATTTTTGGAGTTGATTTTCTATTTAAATTAAATCGTACAAAAACAGTACAGAAACCGATTTTAAATAATACCAATAGATTTTAATTCACAAGTTAAGAAAATGAGTTAGGGGACATGCTATCCACCACCAAATAATCATGCAAGTATGTTATGTTTCATTCAAATCCCTTTTATTTCCGGATGAAGATGCTCAAGTTGGCTCAATGTTAGAACACAACCTATTACTCTTTCTTACGTAGTATGTTAAGAGCATGGCGTTTTCAACTTAACTTAGTTCCTAACATGCAATCTAGAATGGCGTGTTCATAGATTTAACAAGTAGAAATCATTAAGAATAAAAAGAGTTTGAGTCATCACAAGGCATCGTAAGTACTGGTGTTGTCTTACTTATCCTAGAAATCGTTTCCCATGTTAACCACAATTAACAAGTGCTACTCTAGAACATATGTAGGTTCTCATTCAACAAGGGCAGGCAGACATATATTCATAGCAATAAAATCCTAGATATGCTCACTATGTATGCATCCATAGAAACACATAAAGAATTTATCAATGACATAAGTAGTGAAACAATTTTCATCCTTTCATAAAAGTCATTCAACAAAAATATCACAAACAACCTTACAATCATATTTGGGGCTTCAAAACAGCCCCTAACTACTAAAAATTAGTTACACATCATTATCAAATTAAACCAAAAGTAAAATATAAGTTTGGAAAGATTTAACCGAGAGAGAAGGCAGCTTGCTGCTTCTGTCTGTGCCCTTCTCGTACTGCAAGGCAGCTTGCTGATTCCTCTCTTGCGCACTGCCTATCTCTGCTTCTCTTTGCTTCGCACGTCAGTCTCTCTCTCCCCCTCGGTTTCTGCCTCTCTCTCTCTTTTCCGCTGTCTATATATATATATATTTTTTTTTGCTCCTGTTTTTCTGCGCCCCTGCGCCAGCCTTCTTTTTCTTTCCAATCAGTCTTCCTCTCTCTGTTTCCCGTCTCCCATGCCCTCCGTGTCTGCCCTCTCTTTATTTCCCCGCTCTTTTATTTTTCTTTTCTGCTTGCCATGTTGTTTTCTGCTTTTCTCGCTGGTTTTTGTATTGCTGTCATACACTCCTTCTTTCTTCCACTAGTCCATGTCCTCCCACTTATTCTTTTATTTATTATTCTTCCTTGCCACAGAAGAATGCCATCAGCCCTTTTTCCTTTCTCATGTTCTCGACATAGCAACCTGTCAAACACTCACAAATTTCACGATCAGTAGTATCAATGAGACCCTGTTAAGCATGTTGGGCGAAGTTAGCATAATCATATATATTACAACATGACAACTACATCAACAACGGAAAAAGGTCAAAAGAATATAAAGTAGGCGGTAGGCCACAAACAGAATAATATAGTAAAGGAACAGTAATCTTCACTGAGCATGTGCATTTGATGACTGATGAGATTCTGCAGTAATGGAATGACTACACGCATGCGGTGATCATGTGTGTGGCTTTAGTGCTCTTTTCAAGGTATAAGCTGGAAAGTATTTTTGGCAGCAAGATTCTTTTGTGCTATTTTTATTTTCTTTCCATAACAAATCCTATAAACACAAAAATAATGTAAATAGCTCAAAAATATAAGGAACTAACTAAGAAAAGACGAGTGAATTCGAAGTAAAAATATATATAAATATGATCCGATCAGTCGTCTAGCATTTTGACCACGTCAGAGTCCGGAAAAGGGTACGTCTTCTGCTCCTGTTCCTTCAATGTGTTTTTGTGCGAGAAGGCTCACCTCTCTTCATCTTATTCGCTTTATTCTTAAAGAAAGTCTTCACGCACGTGGATGAGGTCTTGATAGGGGTAGCGTTGATGGTAAAAGTTTCCTTGGTGGGCTTCTTCCCATTCCTGTCCACCTTCGGAGCAAACATCTTGTCCTTCTTGAAGTCTGTGATTGGTTCATTTTTCCCATGGTTGGCGATACTCAGCTCCATGTCGTGGGATCTAGTTGCCAACTCCTCAAATATTCTCAGTTTTATACCTTAAAGGATGTAATGTAATCCCCAGTGCATGCCTTGAATGCACATCTTAATGGCAGAGGTTTCAGAAAGCCGATCTTTGCAATCCAGACTTAATGAACGCCATCCATTGATGTAGTCAACGATAGGTTAGTCCTTCCACTGCTTCGTACTCCTCAGTTACAGAATGTTTACTGTGTGGCAAATACTATAGAAGTGATTGAGGAATTCCCTTTCAAGCTGATCCTAGCTATTGATAGAGTCGAGCTTGAGGTTGGTGTACTAGTCAAAAGTGTTACCTTTTAGCGAGCGCACGAATTGCTTGACGAGGTAATCTCCCTCCGTCCCAACATTGTTGCAAGTTTCAATGAAATAGGCAATATGTTGTTTGGGATTGCCTTTTCCATGGAATTGCATCAATTGTGGCGACTGATAACCCCTTGGCCTCCTCAAGGTGTCAATCTTCTTGGAGTAAGGCCTTCAATACAGCATGAAGTCCTGTGAGTTCCCTTCGTACTGCGCTGTAATGGTGCTAGTGATCATCTCTTGCAACTGCTTGTAAAAGAGATATCTAATGAGCGTCGTTGCTTGGTCCATATTCTCCTCGGCTTTTTCTATTATAGGCTCTTCATCTTCGTCAGTTTCCTTCTTTTGTAGATCAACCTTTGGGTCATTGTTAGCTTTTTCATCATACTGCGCCTCCAGTCAGTTGAGGAGTGCAGCAATTTGCAAGTCTTTTTCCTCCACATTCCTTGTCAGCCTTACGATTACTTCACTCATTTGTATGCTCCTCGATGGACGTCGTACCAGTAGTCATGATTTGCATGGCTATAGGATATGAGTTGCTGCTTGAGTCGGCATCAGAAGTTAACGACTCGGAGTACCTAATTGGGCTTTCTTCCCTTGGCGCTCTTAGATAGGCCAGGGTGATCATGGGCTCAAGCCTAGAGTGTTCTTGCTCCTTCTGCAAAGTTGATGTAGGGGTGGAAGGCATGGTAGAAAGAGCTATTGCCTTGTT